TTTTTCTTTAAAATACAATAATAAATTATTTATATAAAGGATTTATTTAAAAAAAAACAAATCATACCTGTTACTCTTGATGAAGAACAAGGAAATTTATTCAGATGCACCATTTTTTTTTTTCTTAAAATTATTTAATTAATTTTTTAAACTTGTTATTCACGTCTGTTTTACTTGTATAATGAAGTGAATTCAGTTTTTAAAAGACCTTATGTATACAATAATACCAATTTCAACACCCAGCAAACAAAAATAAAACTTATCGCTTTTCTATAACATTAAATACTTGGCCTGATAAGAAAATTGTTTATTTCTCATTAAATCAAAATATTTCTAATTTTTGAAATTACTTTTTCTAATTCATCGTCTATTAAAAAATTTTTTATTAATTAAATCATTTTTCAAATATATTTTCCATATTAGTATTTTATTAATTAATGATTTATTTAATAATACTTGTTTTAATTTAAAAAAAAAAAATTACATTGTATGAGTCAGGTTTTCGTAAAGAATTTTTTCTTTGCTTTTTTTTTTTTTTTTTTAATGGAAAACTTTCATTGTAAAATGAAACTGGAGAATGTATAGGGATGTAGAAAATGTACAGCAACGAGACCGATGAGTTATTGCATCGTCGGAATGAGCTCTGATTTGCAAGAAAAAGAAATCATGGTAGGAAAGTGGCTTCGGGAACTTTGACTCTCTCTCTCGCTCTCTCTTTTTTTTCCTCTCTCTGTGAAAACTCGGAGATTTCACTATACTCCAAAGATTGTAATCCAGAAGCAGAATTGAGATGCGAGACTGCAATTTTTTTGTTCGTTCACTAAAGTATTAATTAAAAAAAAAAAAGCTCGAAATAGTATACGAAATTCCCCTTTTTTCTTCTTCATTTTCTCTTCATATAAAAGAATAATCGTAAAAATAGAGATAATGTATTTGAAACTTTTTATTTTAAACACGTTTTGGTTATGTAAAATATAATTAAAAAATATATTTTATCTTTTTTTTTTGGTTTTTATTAAAAATATTAAAATTATAGTATAATAAACATGAATGTGATGGGCAAATAGATTTTTTTTTCTCATGCTTTTTTTTTGGATATATATTTGCGGAAATTTTGCCGTATATTTGAGGCCACCAGAGGCGCATTGTAGAGAACAAATAGACGGAAAACAAACGATATTGTCCATTAAAACAACATGAACGTACACTCCTTGTTTGCCTTTTCATATTTCTGTTTACTTCTGTTTTCATATTTTCCACTCCATTCGCGGGAGAGTTTCAATTATTAACTCGGAATTGTTACTCCACTAATTATACTAAATCTTAAAATTAATGTCATTTACGAGAATAATGAGGTTTTCATTTTTCTTAAATTATATTCCATTTGTCAAATTTTTTTTTTGTTTTCTTATCAATAATAAATTGTATTAATTAATATTAATATATTTTTTGTGAAAAAAAATATCAAGTTTTTAGACGATTAAAAAAATAGTATTTATTATGAAGTTGAGAGAAAGATTTTTCAGCTTTTCAATCAAATTTTCTTTAACGCCTGAACAATTTCTTTATCGAGCAATCTCATCGAATTCTCTCTCTCTCTCTCTCGTTCTCTCTCTTTTCTGTATTGGCCATTTTTTTTTAAAGTGTGTCCTTTTACAAGCGGAGAATCCAAGTTTCAATTTCACGGTCTCTTCTTCTAGTTAAACATCCTCTTTTCCTGAAAAGTCGATTCTTCGCCAGTCGCTTTCAGATTTTTCTTTAAACCGACAAGTAACTTTATGAACAATATAATTACACTTGCAATTGGGACTTAGTGATTAAAAAAGTAAAATGAAAGAAAGAAATGCTTTTTAATTATCTTTTTAAATTGCGCTCGCACAGTTGCGAGTAATTATAAAATAAGTGAATTTTATAAATTCTTCTGACATTGAATTTAACAATTTTGCTCACATATTTTTTTTTTGTATTTATTTTTAAAACATGTAATTTTGATATTTGCAAGTAGAAAAAAAAAAATTAGAATTTCACACTTGAATAATAAAAATATTTTGCTCTCACGTTTCTAACTGTTCATGCCCTCGAAGTTAAATGTATTCTATCCAATAAAAAGCTATACAGCAGATACTCAGGTGAAGTTAGATACCAAACTTTTATGACTTCATTTCAGAAAAAGTCGGTTATTTTCCGGAAAATAAAAAACGTGTCATCCGGAAGAATATAAATTACTGTAAAAAATTGCAAGACTTTGGAAAAAAATACACACACACACACTAGAAAAAAAAGAAATATATAAATAAAAAAAAATTTCTTTTCAATTTCTTTTTTGTACTAATTCTTTTTTTTACAAATTGCAAAATTGTAAACAAATGGATCATTTCAATTGTAATAATTTTCATTTTCCAAAAAAAATATTAAGGTTCTTTTTATTTTTAAATTTTCATGAAATTTTGTCGATGATTCGTTTTTTTTCGTGGCTTCTCACAATTTGTGTGTGTGTGTGTGTGTGTGTGGATTTTTCGCCTGAGTCTGCAGCCGCAGCGAAAAGTGACAAAAGATAAGAGAGCCATGGGGTCGTGGAAACCTACCGACTGTCTTTGGAAGGAGTAAATTTAAGAAAAGCTTTAAGAAAAGAAAAAAAATATGTGAAAGGGGTTTTTTTTTTGTCTTTAAGTAGGGAGAGAGAGAGAGAGAGAGAAAGAAAGAGAGAAAAAATGTTACTTAAAATGAAACAGATTGCAAAAAAATCTCATTAAAAATTCCTTCTTACATTATAGTAAATCTTTCTTAGTAAATTATATACTTTTATATATTTAAAACTATTTTTTCCCAATTTCTTTTCCTCTAAAAAAAGTTGCAATAAAAGTTTATTCATTTAAAAAAAAGTATTTCTTTGATTGAAACAAATATTCATCCAAATTTAAAGAAAAATTTTATCTTTGATTTAAAAATGAAAATTTCTTTCAACGATTTTTGTTTTATTTCATTTTAGTGTACAAGTTTTTCTTTGGTCTTTTATACGTATTTTTTTTTTTGTTTTCCCTTGTACTAACGTGAATCCGTATATGTTCTTACTTGACAATTATCGTAACTTTCTTTATCTGTTCCCGTTTGAACCTTTGTCGTGTAAATCTTTGTGAGTTCGTGGGCTAGGTTTTTGTAGTGTTTCTTCTTGGTTCCTGGGAAAAGGATATATATATATATATATATATATATATATTTTTTTTTTTTCTTTTTCCCTTGAGACCAACGTTCTCACCGCTCCCAACTCGGAACTGTCCCGAGGCTATGGCACCGGCTAATGTCTCTTAAAAGAGAAGAATTGCCATCCCATTTTTTCCCAGGCATATACCCACTTTGCCACCCTCACCTCACGATCACGACGAGGATGGCTGACCTCTCAAGAAATTTATTTCTCTTTTGTCCAACGAAGCACCGGGCTATTTTCTTTCGTGCAACGAAAACGCGCGCGACAAAATTCGTCGACGCGTGAAAAAAGCACTTTTCGCGCTCTCTCTCTCTTTCTTTCTTTTGCGAGAAAATTAAGATCGAGTGAGTCATTTTTTTTTAAAATACATTTTTTTCCCTTTTCGTCTCGTATAAATATTAAAATTACTGGAACAATTGATTTGATTACATCTGCTCTATTAAATTAATAAAATCTTATTTACATTTATATTGAAACCAGATAAAAACTAGATAGAAACTAGATAGAAACTATCATAGCAAGTATAATAGAAACTAGATAGAAACTAGATAGAAACTAGATAGAAACTAGATAGAAAGTAGATAGAAACTAGATAGAAACTAGATAGAAACTAGATAGAAACTAGATAGAAACTAGATAGAAACTAGATAGAAACTAGATAGAAACTAGATAGAAACTAGATAGAAACTAGATAGAAACTAGATAGAAAGTAGATAGAAACTAAATAGAAAGTAGATAGAAACTAGATAGAAACTAGATAGAAACTAGATAGAAACTAAATAGAAAATAGATAGAAACTAGATAGTATTTAAATAGTATTTAGATAGTATAACTGTATTTCTAATTAATTTCGGGATAGTTCAAATATACTACACAGAAAATAGAATAACTATACTGTAACTGTAAAGAAACGTGTACCTTCAATTTTTGAAACAAAAATTTTCTACCACGTTTGTTAAATGATATTTAAAGGAGATAAAAAAAAATGTCGATTATTATTAAAGGGAAAATCCAATACACTGCATCAATGAGTAGTAAAGCTGTAAAGTTTAAGTGAAGAAGCTTTTGAGCTTGATACAAAAAACTATTTTCAAGGAAGGAAGTAAGAAATACGACACTAGACAGTTGATCTCGATATAGTGACAGATAAAATTTAAACTCGACTTTGTCAAGAATTTTATTCTGTCACTTAAATTATATGACACAAACAAACTCTTTTATTCAATCAGAAATTATTTAATGCTTTTTTTCTTACTTTTTCAAAAAAAAAAATCCAGCTTCTGTTAAATGCAAAAATTAAGAAAATTGTTTTTCTTTATATATAAATAAAACGTGAAATTTTCGATAAAAATTTGATCAATAAAATATTTCTCGCGGATAAAACAATTCATACAACGTGAATTTACCAAGTTTCTTTGCGCTCACAGTAGTTTTCGCATCATTGGTTTGGACTGCAGTGCGAACTTAATTTTGAAACTTTACCCGAATGGGAGGTACTTCTCGCGATTCCTTAATAGCTGTTGTAAAAGGATTATCGTCAGTAAGTACCGACTTGAAATATCCACGAAAGCTAAGGTTAAGCTATATCTAAGAGAGGATTTAAGTATAAATTTTCCGCAATGAAATGTTCTATCTAATTTTCACAAAAAACTAAATCCCAAAAATCCCTTTTTTTTTTGATCGAAGAAAAAATTTTCGAAATTCAAATTTAATTATTAGGTATTTAATTAATAAAACAAAAAGGATTAATAAAAAAAAAATTATTATTAAATTAATTATTGTAAATATTTTCCGATTAATTATTTTTCATCTTTGAAGCTTGTGAGGAATTTTTTCGATTGTATATTAGAAGAAAAATTTTTTTCATTAGAAATATAAATAGATATAAAATTATTAAAAACAAGAGTATTAAAAATGCATAAACATCTAAAAGTTCCACTTGCCACCAATATAAATCTTCAGCTGGTGATTTTAATGATTTTGCACCATTTCTAATTATATATTCCACCCAAAATATTGCAGTTTTCATTGCGCTCATTGGTCGATCGCGAAATAGACGAGATTCTCGTATAGCAGCATTTCTGTATAAAATATTTCATTATTTGAAATTTTTTTTTTTTTTATAGAATTGTTTTAAATTTTCTTGATTATTTTAGGATTTTTTTTAGGATTGTTTAGAATTGTTTAGGATTATTTAGAATGATTAAAGAAAAATATTTATTTAAAAACTTACTTATAACTTGGATCCAAAAGAATTAAATTTAAAGATTCAATTAAATTTTTAGCTGTCATTGTTTCATGATTCATTTGAATTGCCATTTTTTTCTTCACTAAAATATCCACATTTATAAATTGATCAACAGTTAGTGGAAATCCTATGAAAGGTATGCTATAATAAATTGCCTCTTGACATCCCAATAGACCGCCGTGTGTTATAAAAACTTTTGTATTCTTATGTTCTGTGCAAAAAAGTCACAAAAAAAAAATTTAGCCCAAAAATACTAAATATTTCTGATTTTTAAATATCATTGAAAAAAAAAAATTATTTTTGGTACAAATAATCGAATAATACTTTACTATTATCAAGTAAATATTTATTTGAACTAAATAATTTTTATTTGTATAAAATAATAATTTATCGAATAAATTTTATCCTACTTTCTTTTTTTTAATAATATTAGAATACGTTTTTTTAGTAATCAAATATGATTCTTACTTAAAATTGGAATTTGCGGTAGCCATGAAAATAAACGCACATTTTCTGGAAGACCTGGTGGCAACATATTTTCGTTAGCTATCTTCATTAGCACTCTAATAGGTGATATTTTTGAAAATGCCTCATAAAATTCAAGGAGAATATTTTCCGATAGACTTTCAATGAGATACATTGAACCAAATGTAAAATAAATTACACCATTTGCACTGTCATCCATCCATTTTTTTAGTTCCTACAAAAAAAAAAAAATAGATAAAAATAAAATATCAAACAGAAATATTTTCAAAATTAAGAATAAAAATTTATGTAAATTTTAAATTATTTAAATAAGAAATATTTTTGATTTTCTTTTTTTTTTTAAATATTTTTAAAATTGAATTTTTTATTTCAAACTTACAAATGGAAGTACATCAGTATTTTGTTCAACATGCAAACCAGCTATGGAAATAATAGCTGGATTTTGTGGTTTTACCTGACAAATTGTATAATGACAATTTGTAAACATTAGTGCAACATTTTTTTCCACTTCACGTATATTTGGTATATTAGGACTCAAATATTTCCTCATTATTTTCGTTTGTGATTTCTCGGTGAATTTATAAAATCTATTTCTATTGTAATGAATCATTAGTGTATTTTTGAAACGATCGAAAAATGTCTCAATTATTGACGATTGAAAAAATATATTTGCGACAAATGAACTTGAATCAGGATTTCCAATTGGACTAAAAGTCCATGGGAATTCCATCATTGTTGATATTGTTATCACAGGTGCTTTAATTACATAACCCAATCCAAAATAACAATTTGCTGTGAAGGCCTGAAAAAAATGTATTAGATTTCAAAAATTAATTTTACACATACTTTTTTTATATATAAAATTTATAGCATAAATGAATTAATAAAATTTATGATTGAAATAAAAATATTAATTAAAAATAAATAAATTAATTTGTTTATTTTTTAATTAAAGAAACAGAAAAAAAATTAAAGAAACATTTTGTAATTTTTATTATTATATTTTTTTTTGTTAAATATATTGTGTTTATAAAATTTACCTCTGTGATAATGAGATCATAATTAATTGATGAGTTTTTAATAAATTTTTGCATTTTTTCCTGTGATAACAATTGACAAACATTTTCTGCCCATATGGCAAAAAAATATGGCATATCGTGTTTTACAGTTGAAATAAAATTTATTGGTAGTGCATTAGTTAATTTTGATAAATTAGTTTCATTTAAATTAATAATTATTCGATAATTATTTGGTGGATCTTTTATTTCAAAATGAGTGATGATATCAACAATATGTCCATGTTTTGCTAATCCCTTCATTAACGATTCAAACATGAGATTATGACTTTTTGAATGAAAGGGAAAGACACCCAAAATTCGGGAATTTTCCGTTTCTTTGAATATTACCAAATAATAAATAAATAAAAAGTATAGTAATTTTTTGTAAAAATTCATTGTATTTATTATTTTTATAAAATTATTGGATTAAAATTTTAATAATTAGAATTTATAATTAAAAAACTTTTTGTTTTATAAAAAAAACTATGTTAAATATAAAAAGAGACTTGTCTTTGAAAGTTAAAATACAACTAAACGTTTTTATATTTCTATTCAACTGATAATGATAAAAAAAATTTCCTAGTTATTTTTAGAATAATTGGTATTGTAGATATTGTTTACCAAAAAGTAGTGTATAAATAATTTATTAAAGATAAATTAAAATAAATATTACAAATAATAATAAATTGTAAATGTATAATTTAATATTTATTTCAAAAATTAAATGAATTTATTATTTTGAATCACTTTCTCAAAATATTTGTATATTAAAAAAAAAAAAAGAAATAAGAAAATACACAAGGATTGGAAAATATTTGAAATGAAAAAAATAATTTTTTTTCTTTCTTGATGTTGAAAATAAATGTACGACGTATGTCAATATTAAAAATATAAGGAGAGCATATAGTTCTGTATATATATAAATATTAAAAGAAGAATTTTCAGTTTCCTTCTTTTCTTAACTGCACTCGGTGGTCCTGCAAAAGTGAAAAACGATCTGAAATACTTTTTCTCAGAAGTCTCTTTCTTTAGCATAAGATATTTCAATGTCGCGTATGTTCTTTGGTTCTTCATCTTTGTGAAGTATTTTTCATCAATAAAAAAAATAAATAAATAACGACAACGTTGACCTTATTCCTTTGCAGCCAAACTGTCGTCTCTCTTTCAATTTCTTTTTCGAAAAAAAATTTTTTTAAATCTTAACTTATAAAAAATTATATAAAAAATTTGCAATATTCTTCCTTTTCACTGAATTATTATCGAATAATTATTATCAAATAGATATTTTGTTAAAAATTACAATATTTAAAAAAAAAAAAATTTTTCGAAATGTAACAATTTTTTTGTAAAAATATTTTATTGTGCAATAATCTTTTTTTGTGGCATTATAAACATAACTCTTGTCAACTCGGTAGTTTCCATTAAAAAGTTTTCATCGTAGTATAAGGTCTTACTTCAGGAAAAGAAGGGTACTTACAAGGAGAATCCTCTTCGCTTGAGGCTCCTGAAGCTCTTTTCGCCGACAACTTACATTCGTATATTTGCATATCTTCGCTCTCTTTTTTTTTTTCATTTTCGAAGAAAAAAAAAAAAAAAGTCACCTACAAATGCCGTGTAATATTTCCCCACATATATTCGATTATGATTTATATAATTATATTTTCAAATTATATAATTTAAAAAAAAATTAACTAAAAAGAAAATTAAATCTATTGACGAGGGAATAAAATTTTGTAGAAAAAAAAATTTTTTTTTAGTAAAAATTGAAAAAGCACTTTAAAAAAATGATTTTTTATCATGTCGTGTGAAGTTGCAAGCAATACTTTATATAGTCGAGACAATTTTACATAGGAATTGCCTCCCATGAGAACTATATTTCACTTGAATGGTTCTTTACTTGTTTTGCCTTTTCCTAAAAGTATATATGTATATATATATATAGTCTACACTATCTCACCGACTATATTTTGATAAACGCAATGGAATTCATTTCTCCCTTACAGCAATAGTACAAGGGACTTTTTTCCAATTTCATTTTCTTGTTTCTATTCTAAGAATACGTAATTTAAAAAGAAAAAGTTGAATTTTTTCAAATTATTTATTTTATTACTTAAAATAATAGAAAATTGAATAAGAAAAAAAGATTTATTTAAAAACAGCGAAAGATTTGACTCGAATAGTGAAATATTTAACTGAAACAATTAAAAACTTTTGCTATTTCAGTAAAATCTTTCGCTGTTCTAGGTAAATCTTTTTAGAGTTTCGTGGTCCATGCAACCGTTATCGATTACCATAGCAAACGGTACCATAGCAACTGGTACCATAGCAACTGGTACCATAGCAACTGGTACCGTAGCAACTGGTACCATAGCGACTGTACCATAGCAACTGGTACCATAGCAACTGGTACCATAGCAACTGGTACCATAGCGACTGTACCATAGCAACTGGTACCATAGCAACTGGTACCATATAGTAACCGGTACCATAGTAACCGGTACCATATAGTAACCGGTACCATATAGTAACAGGTACCATAGTAACCGGAACCACAGTTACCGGTACCATAGCAAATGGTACCATATAATAACCGGTACCATAGTAACCGGTACCATATAGTAACCGGTACCATAGTAACCGGAACCACAGTTACCGGTACCATAGTAACCGGTACCATATAGTAACCGGTACCATAGTAACCGGAACCACAGTTATTGGTACAATAGCAACTGGTACCATAGCAACTGGTACCATAGCAACTGGTACCATATAGTAACCGGTACCATAGTAACCGGTACCATATAGTAACAGGTACCATAGTAACCGGAACCACAGTTACCGGTACCATAGCAACTGGTACCATATAATAACCGGTACCATAGTAACCGGTACCATATAGTGACCGGTACCATAGTAACCGGAACCACAGTTACCGGTACCATAGTAACCGGTACCATATAGTAACCGCTACCATAATAACCGGAACCACAGTTATTGGTACAATAGCAACTGGTACCATAGCAACTGGTACCATAGCAACTGGTACCATATAGTAACCGGTACCATAGTAACCGGTACCATATAGTAACCGGTACCATATAGTAACAGGTACCATAGTAACCGGAACCACAGTTACCGGTACCATAGCAACTGGTACCATATAATAACCGGTACCATAGTAACCGGTACCATATAGTAACCTGTACCATAGTAACCGGAACCACAGTTACCGGTACCATAGTAACCGGTACCATATAGTAACCGGTACCATAGTAACCGGAACCACAGTTATTGGTACAATAGCAACTGGTACCATAGCAACTGGTACCATAGCGACTGTACCATAGCAACTGGTACCATAGCAACTGGTACCATATAGTAACCGGTACCATAGTAACCGGTACCATATAGTAACCGGTACCATATAGTAACAGGTACCATAGTAACCGGAACCACAGTTACCGGTACCATAGCAAATGGTACCATATAATAACCGGTACCATAGTAACCGGTACCATATAGTAACCGGTACCATAGTAACCGGAACCACAGTTACCGGTACCATAGTAACCGGTACCATAGTAACCGGAACCACAGTTATTGGTACAATAGCAACTGGTACCATAGCAACTGGTACCATAGCAACTGGTACCATATAGTAACCGGTACCATAGTAACCGGTACCATATAGTAACAGGTACCATAGTAACCGGAACCACAGTTACCGGTACCATAGCAACTGGTACCATATAATAACCGGTACCATAGTAACCGGTACCATATAGTGACCGGTACCATAGTAACCGGAACCACAGTTACCGGTACCATAGTAACCGGTACCATATAGTAACCGCTACCATAATAACCGGAACCACAGTTATTGGTACAATAGCAACTGGTACCATAGCAACTGGTACCATAGCAACTGGTACCATATAGTAACCGGTACCATAGTAACCGGTACCATATAGTAACCGGTACCATATAGTAACAGGTACCATAGTAACCGGAACCACAGTTACCGGTACCATAGCAACTGGTACCATATAATAACCGGTACCATAGTAACCGGTACCATATAGTAACCTGTACCATAGTAACTGGAACCACAGTTACCGGTACCATAGTAACCGGTACCATATAGTAACCGGTACCATAGTAACCGGAACCACAGTTATTGGTACAATAGCAACTGGTACCATAGCAACTGGTACCATAGCAACTGGTACCATAGCAACTGGTACCATAGCAGCTGGTACCATAGCAACCGTTACCATAACAACCGTTTCGATGACAATCGTTACCATGACCGTTTTTTTCCTTAGCAACGGTTGCTAAGAATTTGTTTCTTTAGCAACGGTAATATTAATATTCATCACGAAACCCTGCAATGGAAGCGCCATGCGCCGGCTTCTCATATTTTTTAAAAATTTTTTTTTAGGTTTATAGTTTATTAGCGATTTTTGCGCGATAAGATAAGATAAAATAAAACAAAGGGGCTTTTATAATCGTGGATGTGAGACCTGGGCGCGTTGGAAATGCTATATATATATATATATATATGTGTAGTGAGAGTGCAATTTGTCTTGGTTGGTTCATGTTGGTCCCCAGTGGTTCAGGGTGATGAATGAGTCAAGGGCCCGAGGCATTTACCACCGTCGACTAAATGGTCCAAAAACTATCAGCAGAACCATTGAAAATGCGCTTCAACTTTTGATGCCAAACGCAATTCCTTCTCTCTCTCTCTCTATCTCTTTCTCTCTTACTTAGTCGAGTCTACTCAACGACTCGTTAGACAATTTTGCTGACACGAAAATTTTCATCTGTCGACAGAAATTTTGGCAACCACAATATACCTTTTGTAAATCCCATCAACTTGCAACTTTATCCATTATTTTCTAGTGGTAAATCGAAAGTTTTCTCGTTATCTATCATTTTCACGGTTTAACAAATTTTTCATGAATTGCAACAAAGACATTTTATATATTTATAATTTGTTTGAGTAATTCTTTTTTTTTTATATTTTTTACAGTCTACTGTTGGTTGAAACAAACAAATTTTTATTCATACGAACGATTTATATTTTTTGAATTTTTAGTATATTGGTTTTTTATTTTTAGTAATTTTGTTATCACTAGTAGAAGTCAATTTCAGTGAGACACTCGTTTAAATTCTGTAAGGGTAGGACATTATTATCTCCAGACAATTAAATTAGCTGGTATTGAAATTGAATTATTTCGAGCTACAGAACCAGGAATGCTTCATACAAACTAAAGCCGACAATATGTATGTGTATAATATAAAGTACAATGTTCCACTACATCGTTAATTAGATAGGCACCATGGAACTCGATTATTATTATATGGGACTTTATAATTAAATCTCAAAATTATTTCAACGTGCTTTGTTCATTCGGTGTGGAGCACATTTATTATAAATGCTGCCCATTGTTGTCCACTCCATACACACATACAGTCGATTCTCTCGTTATTCCATTCCATTTTATC